CCATTAGCATAACAATGTGGGTCCAATAGACCGGCAATACTACTGAGAGTTAATGTATTTGATTTCTAATCATTATTATTCGTTTTTCTCTCGTCTTTCTCTCGTCTTTATTCGTATTACTTCGTTACTGATTTAATTAGAACGAGAAGAAAGAGTAAAATAAATTATAGGCAGGGGTTGAACTTTCGACCTCCCGATCAGACTTACCTTGCGCGCGATCTCACCTAGACTACCGCGACTCACATATTAATGCGCATAGATATTAAAGTATAGAAAGGTAATCATATACTCATAACTCAATTCACAATGTTTAGAAACTCTATTATTACTTGCTTTCAAATAAAAATTAGTTATTTACTTCGCAGATTTTGACTGTCGTTTTACAGTATTTAGTTACAGTATTTTGTTACCGCTCTTCGGTCAATCGTTTCGTTGAGTTCGATCGCGGCTGTTTGGTTCTTTGGCTGTTCGCTGTTTGCTCGTTCGCATAAACTTTTTGCTGTTCTTTGGCTGTTTAATTCTTCGGCTTTTCGCTGTTCGGTTATTCGATCGCTGCTCGCTCGCTGTTCGGCCGATCGCCTAAGCTTTTTCCGCTGTTTGCTCGTTCGCTTCGGGTTTTCGCTGTTCGGCTATTCGCTCGCTGTTCGCTCGCTGTTCGGCTGTTCGCCTCGGCTATTTCGCTCGTTCACCTAGGCCGTTCACCTAAGCTTCTCGCTGTTCTACTGCTGTTCGTTGTTTGCTCGTTCGCCAAAGCTTTTCGCTCGTTCACCTAAGTTATTCTCTGTTCTTCGGCTGTTTGCTCGTTGTTCGACAGTTCGCCTAAGCTTTTCGCTCGTTCGCTAAAACTTTTTGTTGTTCTCAGAGTGTGCGAGCTTAACTTTGTGTATCTTTATACCCTTCAAATGGTTTGCCATAGTATTCGCGCTATAAGTAAACTGTTACGAAAAAAGGTGTTTCCTCTATGGTCCGCTATAGTAAATGTATGACACTTTTCAATCCATACGTTCGTGGTTTTTAGACAGCCAAGGCTCCTGCGATTTGAATCAGGAAAAAAATAAGATAGTATTCCCAACATTGATAAGAATATCAACACCAAGAATAACGTCTCGGCGGGGAATCGAACCCAGATCTTCTGCGTGATTCACGCAGAAGATCTGGGTTCGATTCCCCGCCGAGACGTTATTCTTGGTGTTGATATTCTTATCAATGTTGGGAATACTATCTTATTTTTTTCCTGATTCAAATCGCAGGAGCCTTGGCTGTCTAAAAACCGCGAACGTATGGATTGAAAAGTGTCATACATTTACTATAGCGGACCATAGAGGAAACACCTTTTTTCGTAACAGTTTACTTATAGCGCGAATACTATGGCAAATCATTTGAAGGGTATAAAGATACACAAAATTAAGCCCACAGACTCTGAGGTCAGCACAAAGTTTAAGCGAACGAGCGAAAAGCTTAGGCGAACTGTCCAACAACGAGCAAACAGCCGAAGAACAGAGAATAACTTAGGTGAACGAGCGAAAACCTTAGGCAAAAGAGCAAACAACGAACACCAGTAGAACAGCGAAAGGCTTAGATGAACGGCCTTGGTGAACGAGCGAAAAAGCCGAGGCGAACAGCCGAACAGCGAGCGAAGAGCGAGGGAATAACCGAACAGCGAAAAGCCGAAGAATTAAACAGCCAAAGAACAGCAAAAAGTTTATGCGAACGAGCAAACAGCGAGCAGCCAAAGAACGAAACAGCTGCGATCGAACTCAACGAAGCGATTGACCGAGGAGCGGTAACAAAACGACAGTCAAAATCTGCGAAGTAAATAACTAATTGTTATTTGCAAAGTAATCAATAATAGAGTTTCTAAGCATTGTGAATTGAGTTATGCGTATATGATTACCTTTCTATACTTTAATTTCCATGCGCATTCATACGTGAGTCGCGGTAGTCTAGGTGAGTTCGCGCGCGAGGTAAGTCTGATCGGGAGGTCAAAAGTTCAACCCCTGCCTAAAATTTATTTTACTCTTTCTTCTCGTTCTAATTAAATCAGTAACGAAGTAATAAGAAGAAAGACGAGAGAAAAACGAATAAAACCGAGAGAAAAACGAATAGTAATAATTAGAAATCGAATACATTAACTCTCAGTAGCATTGCGGGTCTATTGGACCCACATTGTTATGCTAATGGCTTCTGAGCGTAGACAGAAACTCCTAAGGGGTTGAAACGTGTAACTCTCATATGTTTGCTTTGTCCGATGCTCATGATTATTCATTTTGAAAAGAACCATATTTGGAACGAGAAGAGATAACTGACCAATCAAACTTCGTAAACAACGTGACGTAATTTTCCTTCAGGTTCCCGCGCCCGCTTAAAAAAATGGCCGACAAACGGGGAATAAAACTTTTGAAAGCCGAGAAAGCTTTCAAAGATTGAAACCTGGAATATTATCGAAACACTGAGCAGGATATTATTGCCTTACCACCTGGGCCAAACGTAACATTATGAAACCCATTGACGGGCTTGCAACTTCTTGAAGTTGTCACTTCAAAAAAACGACGCCTCGTTGACCCTCTGCACAGTAAACTTATACTGCAAATAGGCTTTTAAAATTCTTATGTTAAAAGTCTACAATAAACAGTGAAAAATATTTTCGAATTAAATTCATTAGCTGCGTATCGAAAAGTGTCCAAAACCTGAACCTGACATCTTCCCCAAAAGTGATGCTTGTAATGAATATGAGAAGCATTTTAAAAACTTAAATTAAACTTGGATGTTGTAGTCACGATCGTGTTTTGAGCTAATTTTATGAATGACCAAACTCAAAACAATCGTCAGAGAAGCCGTTTCTTGAAACTTTTCATTCAAAGTCCAAAAAGTTAATCCTTCAAAGCAATTCGGAAAACACTATCTGGATCGTGGATCCGTTCACGCAAGTGAAATCGGCTAAGCACATGGCAAAATTCAACACAAAATCCATCTCAAATCAGGGTACATTTTGTAATTTTTCTTTAGCGCCGAAGAGAAAAATTTATAAAACGTCAATGAAACATTTAAAAATACAAAAATTGCCTTTCAAAAACGTAATTGCCTTGGCCATAGAGTGCAAAATGTACCTGAAAGACTTCACTGCCTTGGTTGCATTTCACAACAGACCATGCGCTCCGTCGTGAAGAAAACAAGGTTGAATTCCTCGAAGGACGATTTCTTGATGAAAAGCTTCCTTTCCTCCACAAAAAGAAAGCTGAGCATTCTTTTGATCTTTCTCTTTCCATTTTTTGTCTTTTAACGATGTATTTTAAACCTTGAAATGCAGAACTCTTGTCTTAAAACATCTGCATGGTGATCGCGCAGCAGCCATTTTGTTGAAAATGGATAAGGTTAAGGTTTCCAAATATGGTAAAAGTGAAAATTCACGAGCATTGAACGCGAGTTACACGTTTCAACCCCTTATGAGTTTCTGGTGTAGACCAATCCTAGAAAAAAACAAAAGAAAAACGAATAATAATGATTAGAAATTGAAAACATTAACTCTCAGTAGTATTACGGGTCTATGATTGGTCCACACTCAAAGGCCATTAGCATAACAATGTGGGTCCAATAGACCGGCAATACTACTGAGAGTTAATGTATTTGATTTCTAATCATTATTATTCGTTTTTCTCTCGTCTTTCTCTCGTCTTTATTCGTATTACTTCGTTACTGATTTAATTAGAACGAGAAGAAAGAGTAAAATAAATTATAGGCAGGGGTTGAACTTTCGACCTCCCGATCAGACTTACCTTGCGCGCGATCTCACCTAGACTACCGCGACTCACATATTAATGCGCATAGATATTAAAGTATAGAAAGGTAATCATATACTCATAACTCAATTCACAATGTTTAGAAACTCTATTATTACTTGCTTTCAAATAAAAATTAGTTATTTACTTCGCAGATTTTGACTGTCGTTTTACAGTATTTAGTTACAGTATTTTGTTACCGCTCTTCGGTCAATCGTTTCGTTGAGTTCGATCGCGGCTGTTTGGTTCTTTGGCTGTTCGCTGTTTGCTCGTTCGCATAAACTTTTTGCTGTTCTTTGGCTGTTTAATTCTTCGGCTTTTCGCTGTTCGGTTATTCGATCGCTGCTCGCTCGCTGTTCGGCCGATCGCCTAAGCTTTTTCCGCTGTTTGCTCGTTCGCTTCGGGTTTTCGCTGTTCGGCTATTCGCTCGCTGTTCGCTCGCTGTTCGGCTGTTCGCCTCGGCTATTTCGCTCGTTCACCTAGGCCGTTCACCTAAGCTTCTCGCTGTTCTACTGCTGTTCGTTGTTTGCTCGTTCGCCAAAGCTTTTCGCTCGTTCACCTAAGTTATTCTCTGTTCTTCGGCTGTTTGCTCGTTGTTCGACAGTTCGCCTAAGCTTTTCGCTCGTTCGCTAAAACTTTTTGTTGTTCTCAGAGTGTGCGAGCTTAACTTTGTGTATCTTTATACCCTTCAAATGGTTTGCCATAGTATTCGCGCTATAAGTAAACTGTTACGAAAAAAGGTGTTTCCTCTATGGTCCGCTATAGTAAATGTATGACACTTTTCAATCCATACGTTCGTGGTTTTTAGACAGCCAAGGCTCCTGCGATTTGAATCAGGAAAAAAATAAGATAGTATTCCCAACATTGATAAGAATATCAACACCAAGAATAACGTCTCGGCGGGGAATCGAACCCAGATCTTCTGCGTGACAGGCAGAGATACTAACCATTATACTACCGAGACTGCTAATCATTAACCCTCCAATGTATAATAATCATTCCTCACGATGTGTTTGCCCTGAAATGTCTAAGTGACGTCATTGCCCAAGCATGCCCCTCTTCTGTCATCGAATAATAGCGTCATTGCGCTAAATAATATAATCAACAATTCACCGTTTAAAATCTGTGGTTTATTTCACTCTTTAACAATTATTCATAAACAATCTAGGGTCCAAATCTCTGTCTTTTAGCAAGAGAGTTTAGTTCGTCTGCATAGCTAAGTCTTTAAACAACAGAGTTTAGCTGGTCGTCATCAGCGCTAAGCTGGTCCTCATCGAAGGGAAACTGGTCCTCGTCAGAGCTCAGAGTCTCCTTTGTTGGCGTTACAATAATAGAAGCTTGGTTTCACTTGCTTCTTTCTTCCGTTTCATGTGTACATAAGGTTACCTCTGGTAACGTCTTGGTACTTGTAATCATGTAGGGATAGCAGTGACAAGTACCAAACACATCAGCCACGACTTGTTTATCGGTCGTGGTTTTTAGCTGATTATCAATCAGCACATACCCATAAGACTTCTCGGTTTCTTTCGTGTAAGCAGACATAAATGCTGTACGATTTTTATCAAAAATCCGCTCAGCCACAATACCAATATGTTTTCTGTCACTCGGACTGCAAAACAACACCATGTACTGGGCATTTCTGCTAATATCTGTGTTGAATTTCCCTTTCGGAAACATATTTTGTAGCAATAATATCACGCTGGCATTGCGATGCCTGCCTTGCGTAAACAAGAGAGAAAGCACTGGGCTTTCTGTAGCCTGTGACATCAAATCATCAAACAAGAACACATTGTTAAACTTTGGATTGATGTCGCTAAGATTTTCGCTCATGTCTGGTAAGCCTTGAGTAAACACTATCTCATCGCCCAGTTTTGATTTCAGGGACATATAGCGACTTTGCCACTGATTGTAAAACCAGAAAATACGTCTGGGTTTCTCACTAGGGTACTTGACACAGGGTACAGTTAGCAACTGCTCCACAAAAAATGTTTTACCGCCCTGACTTGGTCCTACCACGCGCATCGAGAATATGTGATTGAACTTAAAGTCTGAGTAGGGTTTTGTTTGAAGGCAATTGCTTTATACCTTCATAGCCGGTCTTGGAAGCTGTCGGGGTTGAGCGTGAATACTCAAAGGCTGCGACGGCATTCCCTGTTGGGTATTCAATCCCTGAGGTACATCTGTTGAGACTAAGTTTAGTGATAACGAAGGAGTCACTTGATGAGAAAATATGGCTGACTTTAATAGTGGTTGTCGTTCTTCACTGTATAGGTTATGCACTTGACGTAAATGATCCGCTAAGTAAAGCAATTCCTGTCTATGACAAATAGGACACACTCGTCTGAACCTGTAGGGCATGTTGACGCTAGGAAGTCTTAACGCAAATGATGGTGATGCAAAAGTGTTTGGTTTCTATTTATAGTCTTTGGGTCGTTATAGGTCGATGTAGGCCGGTATGGAGTAAAATCACCGTGACACACGTTTCAACTAATTTTATTTGCAGACTTTTCCAATCTATAACAAATTTAGTTGCAGACTTTTCATTACATTACAATTTTAGTTGTAGGCTTTAACTGCAATCCACTACTCCTCATAGAAAGAAATGTTCACGAGCAGTCCTCTGTTTAAGTTTTGTTTCATTGTTAACTGATCTGCAAAGGCCTCTGACATTTCGTCCATGGTTTTATAAGACGACTCGTCTGGTGAGAATTCACAAGTGTATGTGACATCAGCGTGTTCCCTTCATGAAGCTTCTACTTTAATGAGGGTTGTCTTAGTTGTTTTTTTTCTGTTCAATGATAGCATTCAACCCATGATAAAAAGGACACACCACTTCAAAATCCCAATTGCGAGTCCCTGGTTTTCTTGGAGATAATTAATAAAGGTCTACCACATAAAAATCTGTTCCGTTCACTCTTGTATAGGAGGCTTTAAACACTGGAAAATCTATCGCCAATTCTAGCCATGCTAGTTCGTCACTGTCTTCTCCTTTCTGGTTCTCAACGTTCGAAGTCGGAGTATTAGTCTGATCTCTCTGTGCACGTTCCGCCTCTAACTCTTCTAAATCTCTGTCCCATTCTCGTTGTTCTGCAGGTGTCCAGTCG